CTCCGATTTTTGGTCGATATCAAAAATAGACACCGAAAAACTCAAAATTCGAGACAACAAATAAGCATCAAAAATCGCCCCCATTTTTAAAAAAATAAAACTACGAGGGCACCTCAGCTTTCTTTTATGATGTGATAATGCGTCAGCATTACCGTTGGCCGAGTTATATTGACGATAATGAGCAAGGTTGACGCAACGAATAGCACACTAGTTTTGCGATCATGAGAGCCTAGGTTCGAAACTGGGCAGGGTATAATTTATTTCTCAATTTATTTTTTGTTTGATCAGGTGATTAATAATTAAGTCACGTGACCAAAATGATAACGTGAGGAGAGATGTTTGTTTTTATTGTATTTTCTTCTAGTTTTTCTTTTTTCTTGGATTGCGTTGCATTGGTCACGGCATTTGGACACAACTTTTGGTTACGGCCTTTGGCTGCACCCTTTGATCAAGGCTCTTTTTTCGCTCACTGAGCCAGGTACTGCTCACAAATTAAAAATACCCAAAACATGGAACCCTATTCATAAGCCAGAACTCCCAGCACCCCCTTTTTCTGGGTCAGTGCCAGTTCTGGCCAACGCATAAAAGGTGTGGTCACATATCACACTACACTGTATAACCTGCCAAGAATGCATGCCCTGGCACACAGTCTTGTGGAATACAGGCAGTCTTGAATATCACCGCGCGTTGTTCTGCTGACAGGTCTCACCCTCCAGAGAGGCAGCCTGGATCGACGACTTATCAGCCAACCCCGGGAGAGGCCCAAGCTGCTGCTGGTTCTGGAAGCAGTGTAGAGCTGGTTACTTGCCCCTCTCAAGCTACAACGTCAGAGGCTCCCCCTGAAGCTGTGTTCATGCGACGCAACACTTTCTTCGGTGACCAATCGTACGCAGCTGTGTCACCACGGCTGCACAGGGTCCTGGCCACGAGTAGGCACAAGCTGCAGAAGGCAAGGAAACTGTTGAAACAGGCAAAGAAGAAGATCAATCGGAAGACGGCCAGGATTAGGAAGCTGAACATGCTGCTCCGTGAACTGAGGACACGACTTCCTAAGTCAGCAGTTGACATACTTGACAATGCATTCACCAACACAATGCGTAACCCCATCTTAAAAAGAGTAAAGCACAACAAAAACGCGTATACAGAGGATGTGCGCAAGTTTGCCCTCACGCTCCATTTTTACTCGGCAAAGGCATACAGCCTTCTGCGAAAGCACGTCAAGCTACCATACCCAAGCACTCTGCGAAAATGGGCAGCGGTGGTTGATGCACGACCAGGATTCACCCAGCAGTCGTTTGACAAAATTGCACAGGAAGCCCAGAAGGGACCTCTTTTCGTCAGCCTGATGGTCGATGAGATGGGAATAAAAAGACAAACAGACTGGGATGGCAAAGAAGTCGTCGGGTACTGTGACCTGGGTCACGGCATCATCCGTAACGACTGCGTCACCTTTGCAAAGCACGCACTTGTATTTTTGGCGGTGGCAGTCGACCGAAACTGGAAGATCCGCCTGGGTTACGCCCTCATCGATGGTCTAGACGGCAACGCTCCCGCCAAACTGGTACGGGGGTACATCATTAAACTGAAGGATGCTGGAGCAAAGTGTATAAGTGTGACCTGTGACGAGACAAACTGTAACATTACCATGCTCACAGCACTCGGAGTGCGCTTTGCTCAGCCAATGAAGAGCTGGTTCACACATCCATCGGACCCCACCAGCAGGGTCCACGCCGTCTTGGACGCCTGCCATATGCTAAAGCTCATGCGGAACCTGCCGGCCGAGAAAGGGTGCATCAGAGATGGGGCAGGTAAGGTCGTGGCCTGGCGGTACCTTGCGGCCTTGGATAACCTGCAGCAGCAAGAATGCCGTCATGCAGCCAACAAGCTCCGAAAGCAGCACATTGACTTCGAGAGACAGAAAATGAAGGTGTTGTTGAAAAACTAACAATGAACACCACTGACACGAGACATTTAGCCTGGAGTTCAAAGAAGACGAGGGGGATGGGGAATCGCGAGCGCGAGCGAACGAGCAGTCGGATAAACCGTTTAACACAAGCCGGTTGTGCTCTTATTCTTTCTCGACCTCAATGTCCTCAACGAGTACATAGCGAAAGAGCGCCTCAAAGCGCAACAATTATTTGGTGCCGAAACCCGGGACTTGGACTTGAGGAATCAACCTGAAAATGGATCGGCTCAAGACCAAGCGTAAAGTCCGACGCAGGCAGAATACGAAGATAATCAACGAGATAACGACCATGCTCCAGTCCGTCGCCGTTGATGCCTCTTCTCTCGAGAACCTGAGAGACAGACTGGTAACCAGCAACGAGGAACTCCGTAAAGTCAACGAGGAGATCGAACCACACATCAGCGATAGTGATCTGGAGACAGACTACATCACTGTCGCAGAATATGAAGACGAAGTGGCTAGGACCCTCAGCGAACTGCGCAACAAGATCGCGCGGTTGCAGGCAACGCCAACCACATCCGCTACGGGAGCCGACGGCGACAGGGGCCACCCTTCCCAAGCTACGGGAGTGAAGCTCCCCAAACTGCAACTTCTACACTATCAAGGGGAGCTCACGCAGTGGCAACCCTTCTGGGAGCAGTTCGACGCCTCAATACATCGGAACACCAAGCTCTCTGATGGAGAAAAATTCCAGTACCTGCGGTCGCTTCTGAATGGGCCTGCCGCCAGTGCCGTTTCCGGGCTGCAGGCTACGGCAGCGTGCTACAGAGATGCAATAGAGATACTTACTGAACGCTTTGGCCACAAGCGAAACATTCAGCGGGAATATCTGGAGCGGCTTCGAAACCTTCCAATGGTAAAGTCAGTGCGTGATGTCCAAGGACTGCGCAATGTGTACGATCACGTCCAGACAAACATTCGCGGTTTGCGCTCCTTGGATGTTTCAAGTGCGACGTACGCCACAAGGATGGTGGACATACTCCTGTCCAGTCTTCCAACGGACATCGTTGTGGATTACCATCGACACAAAAGCTACGGAATACCACTTGTAGTTTCCGCCGGCAGAGAGGAGGGGGCTAGCACGTCTGGCGATGGAGCAGTCAACGTCGCTGCATCGACAACGGATGCCGGTGAGGAGCTAGCGAAACTTTTGCGGTTTCTTCGCGTGGAAATCGAGAGCAGAGAACGCTCAGCACCGCTCGAGAAAAGACCAGCGAGTGTGCCGAGGATAGCTCCTAAACCGATACAAACTGTTTATCCACCATCAACGTTCGCGTTACAAACCAGCGGGACAGACAACTACTGCTTTTTTTGCAACCAGCAGAGTCACAGTACCGGCGCTTGTACTGCTGACATCGCACTTGATGAAAAGAAAGGAAGGTTAGCGCAAGACATGAGATGTTTTCGCTGCACCAAACGAGGGCATCGGTCCAAAGACTGCCGCAGCCAAGCGAGATGTTCTGGATGCAGGGGACGACATGTCTCGTCAATGTGCAATCCTGCTTGGCAGACAACAAGACCAGTTCCGGAAGAGACCGCCAATATACTCACCACCAGTAATACGACGCCTCACCGAGCATCGAGCGTTCTACTGCAAACTTTCAGGAGCTGGGCCGTGAGTGATGAGAGCTGCGCATATATCCGCGGTATTATCGATGGTGGAAGCCAGAAGACGTTCATCAGAGAAGACTTGGCAAGGAAACTTAACTTGAAAATTATAGGCCAACGAAGCATGAAGCTTAACACATTTGCCAACAGCGGCTCAGACGTGATAAAACAGAACTTCACACTGGTCAGACTACGACTTCGAGGCCAGTATGCGATGACGGAGTATGTTTTAGAAGCCGTTGTCGTCCCATTTATCTGCCAAGATCTCATCGAAACACCCGTCGAACACTCGTTCCTTAAAGCGATCACGGGGTTCATCGCTGACGAGTTGATGTTTCCCTCCGTCCAAGCAGAGGAAGGCATAAGCCTGCTCATTGGCGCTGACCAAATGTGGAGATTGTTGACTGGCGAAACACGCCGCTCATCATCCATCCCCGGCCTGGTGGCCATTTCAACTAGCCTAGGATGGACCTTTCAGGGTCCAACAGGCACCGTGAGAGTCTTGTCGAATACTACCGCGAACTTGATGGTATGCGTGTTAGGAGTGGCATTGACCGCCGAAGACGACGGGGCAGCGTAAAGAAACTTCTGGGAGCTGGAGGCCATTGGAATCAGGGATGAACCGACCAGTACGAAAGAGCAAGATAGTACGGTACTCGAACAATTCACAGAGAAAATAAGTTGGAAGAATGGCCGCTACGAAGTCGCTCTACCCTGGAAGGAGACAGCAACAACACTTGGAAATAATTACATCACTGCCAGGTCTAGACTCCGCAGCTTGATCCAACGTCTCAAGCACGATGACTCCATCGCACTATATGACAAAGCGATACGCAATTACTTTGAGGACGGACACGCGGAAGAGGTGAACGAAAAGTCCCCATGTGATGGACGCGTTTATTATATGCCTCATCGAGCGGTGATTCGGGCCAACTCGGAATCGACAAGAATTCGAGTGGTGTTCGACGCTTCATCACACGCGCCAAACACCGGATCTCTCAACGACCATCTTGAGAAAGGGCCTACCATTAACACAGAACTTTTGCCGGTGCTGCTCTGATTTCGTATGCAAAAGGTGGCTCTCACAGCTGACATCCAAAAGGCATTCTTGCAGATAGAAATTGCAGAGTATGACAGAGATGCTCTCCGGTTTCTTTGGTTTGAGAGGACACCCAGTCCAGGCGAGCCGCTGCCCGATATCAAAGAGTGGCGCATGACGCGAGTTCCTTTTGGAACAACTGCCAGTCCATTCCTACTTGAAGCGACAATTCGTCATCACTTAAAGAACGTGAGTGATTCGAACAAAGACATCGCGGCTCTTTTGCTGGACTCATTTTACGTGGACGACCTACTGATTGGAGCCGCAAGCACCGAAGAAGCCCGAAGACTCGCTGAGGGAGCACAGACATTGCTCAGAGAGGCCGGCATGGAACTTCGCAAATGGAATACCAATTCCAGCCAACTGCAGAACCTATTCAATCAAAAGGAGGGGAACGTCGATAATTCACCTCACATCACGTCAATCAAGTCCCACGAAGTCACAAAGGTACTGGGACTGGTGTGGGACAAAACCACAGATTCCTTCACGTTCTCTAGTGACCATCTCTTGGAGATTCTCTCGACAAACATGACTACAAAACGCTTCGTCCTCAGAGCCTCTGCTAGGATCTTCGATCCCCTAGGGTTCCTCTCACCTTACGTCATACGAGTAAAGATTTTGTTTCAACGTATATGGCAACATGGTCTGGGATGGGATGAGGAACTACCAGAAGCACTACGGCAAGAGTGGACAACGTGGTGCGCCGAGTTAAAGGACTTGCCACGCATCATGGCTCCGAGACACTTACAGAATGCGGATGGTGAGAGCAAGCTGGAGCTTCACGTTTTCACAGACGCCAGCCCTCAGGCTTATGGTGCCTGTGCCTATCTTCGCGCCGTGGATAGAAAAGAAAATGTCAGCGTCACTCTGGTGTTTGCCAAGTCCAGAGTTGCTCCGCTTAAGACGCTGACCCTCCCACGACTAGAACTGATGGGAGCCCTCTTGGGAGCACGCATGGCTAAATATCTGTGTACTGTTTTGTTTGGTGTCGTAGTTACGCTATGGTACTGGACAGATTCAATGATAACCCTCGGTTGGATTAAAGGATCAGCAACTGCATGGAAACCTTTCGTCGGTAACCGAGTGACAGAAATACAAGCACTAAGCGATCCCTCTAATTGGCACCACTGCCCGGGCAGCGCGAACCCAGCAGACGCCCTAACTAGAGGGAAGACGGCAATGCAGCTAAGTGCGTATCAGTTATGGTGGTCTGGGCCTGAGTGGCTTTCCCGAGAAGAAGGAAACTGGCCAATTGGCAGTACCTCAGAAGTTGAAAACCTCAACGGAATCGATGGGGAGAGACGACAACAGGTCGGGGAAATACTGCTGACCACTGTGTGTGCACCAACCGCGCTCTTGACATTGGAGAATTTCAGCAGCTATACCAAGATGCTGCGTGTCACAGCGTGGATAAAACGATTTGTTCAAGGTTGTCGTCGACAGAACAAGTCACCTGAACTGCCCCTAACGGCAGATGATATTAGAGATGCAGAAGCTTTCTGGATCAAGAATGTCCAACGAGAATGCTTCGGCAGAGAGATTCAGGAGCTGGTTCAAGGCGGAAGCATCTCAAAAGGATCGAGAATAACCGATCTGCAGCCCTTTCTTGACGACACAGGAACCTTGCGTATTCGAGGCAGACTTCACCAAGCCACAGCCTCGGAGGAGGTGAGATATCCTACTCTTCTGTTAGGAGATCACCCTTTCACCAAGTTGCTTGTCATGAATGCTCACCTCAGAGTATTACATGGAGGCTTGCAGGCCACTCTGACAGAAATTCGTGACAGATTTTGGCTCTTAAGTTCACGACGAGCCGCGAAGAAGATCATCGCGGAATGTCGCATCTGTCGACGATTCCAAGCAAAACCGGCCACAGCCCCCGTAGCTCCGCTACCACGGGACAGAGTGGAAGAGAGTCAACCCTTTCAAGTCGTGGGAATCGACTTCGCTGGGCCACTGTTGGTCAACTCAGCAGGGCAGTGCGTTAAGGCCTACGTTGCCTTATTCACTTGCGCGACCACCCGGGCACTACTCCTCGAGCTGGTATCCACCGCGGCCACGGCGCCATTTCTTTTGGCCCTGCGACGCTTTGTGTCACGAAGAGGTCTCCCAAGCACCATTTCTAGCGACAATGCGCTGACATTCAAGAGAGCAGCGAAGGACCTGCCGGCCTTGTGGGAGGCTATTCGCAGTGCAGAATCTCAAGACTTCTGCAGTGTTAACCGAATCACCTGGAAGTTCATTGTAGAACGGGCAGCCTGGTGGGGAGGCTGGTGGGAAAGGATGGTGAGGTCGGTGAAAACGTGCCTCCGGAAAATTCTTGGACGGCAGAGCTTGTCGTTTGAAGAACTAACGACGGTACTGACTGACATCGAGGCAGCGCTGAACTCTCGGCCACTCACCTACCTTCATGCCGATAATAGTGAACCAGCGGTCTTGACCCCCGCTCACCTACTCATAGGAAGGCGATTGATAACTCTTCCAGAGGCGGAGCCAACCCACGCGTCATCGAGAGATTCACTAACACGCCGGTGGAAATATAGGCAGAGGCTCATGAACAACTTCTGGGTACGTTGGAAGAAATACCTACTAGAGCTTCGTTCGGCCCACCTTGCACCACCGCTCAGCAGCCGTGCACCGAACGTTGGTGATGTAGTACTGTTGCATGACCGTATCACTCCAAGACATCTTTGGACCTTGGTACGTGTCGTTGAAGTTTTTCCAGGAAGAGATGGAAATGTAAGGGCGTGTGCTGTTAAGCTGCCGTCTGGTTGTGTAATCCGACGGCCAGTACAGCTGCTCTACCCTTTGGAAACTTTGTAAATCTTATCCCCAATTTCCTCACTTCGTGAGCGGGGGGAGGATGTTGAAAAACTAACAATGAACACCACTGACACGAGATATTTAGCCTGGAGTTCATTGTTAGTTTTTCAACATCACTGGCAGCCCAAACCTTGAGCCGGTCCGTCAGCTGCGCCTTGCTGTTTTGCAAGGAAGAGGGTATCCAAGGCTTCGAGGGTGCTGAGGCGACTGCCAAGTTTGCCGCAGCAGTCGATGATATATTTGACCAGACGAACTCATGTCATCCACTTGGTCGTGGAAGCAAAGGTCCCATTCGTGCCAGCAACCAAGTCACCATTCTGGAAAGGATTGAGCAAGCTTCACGCTACCTTTGAGCCCCGAAAGACGTAACGGGCAAGCCGTTGAGCCAAGGGGCAAGGAAGACTCCAGTCCTTGGTTTCCTACTTGTCCTTGATTCCATCAAAGGTCTAGCAGAAGACCTGGTCTGGAGCCTCAGACTGCCACTCAGGTGCCTGCTGACGCGAAAGCTCAGTCAGGACCACCTTGAGCTTTTTTTTTTTTTTTTTGCCACTGTACGCGACAGGACGGGTAACAACAACAACCCCACAGCGCTAGAGTTTCGGTCAGCATAAAGTAAGTGCTTGCCCGCCAACGTCCTGCCTTCAGCTTGCGGCAACTGTCAGGTCGACGGCACCGAGACGCTTCTCGTAAGCTTGTCGGCGCAGCACCAGCAAGATCAGAGAAGGGCTGAGCGTGCAAGAGGCGAAGAGGCCAACAGTACTGTCTCCTACAAGCCGCTTTCAGAATTCGCCGAATGTGTTGTAGAGTGCATTGCTGGAAACGTGGCAGTCAACTTTGCAAAAATGACCAAGTGCCCAGAGTGCTCTAAGATCGCACTTCTTACAAGAGCGAAGTGCGACCTTATACTGATCAAGGATGCTGGTGGGCTCCACAGCCCTTCACAGGACACCTGGGCTTGTGCAAAATAGCGGAGAAGGTGCTTCGCAGGCACTTTGACAAGGCGGCCAAAGGAGGTCGAAACTGGCTACAAAGACTTCAGGCAGAGGCAATGGCCATCATCTTCATGACCCCGCTGTTTAAGAGCTTTGACCACCTCTTCCTGGCACAGACAATCGAAAACCGGTCCCACTGCGCAAGTATGGTAAAGACAATGCTGGAATACTTTTTCAAGCTGCAAATCCACCACATGTGCCGTCAGCAGAGTGCCGCAGAAAGAGGTCGCACCATTCGACAGTTCTTGACGAAGTTGGTAATCTTTCGCGGGCATTGATAAGGGTCACGGATCCACTGCAGCACCAAGGCATTTTCGCTCAAGTGTCAGCTCTGTCGTGAAAACTGCACCCAAAACAGCTCTGCAGGCTCCATGTAACATAATCACTAGAGACGATGACTTAACGAGCAAAGAGTGCCAAGAATGGAGCCAGAGATGGACAAGCAACATGGCAAGGTTGGTTTATAGAGCTCATATGACCCTCAATTGGGGGACGAATAGCGCTCATGTGTGAACTCGCTGCCCTGCCACCTGCGGGAGCTATGTGAGCAAAGGCGGCACGACCTGCGAATGGGTGCACAAGAGCATCCCGAAGCTTGCTTTCAGAGAGAGTGCGACGTCGTCTTTAAGGAAGTGACTAGCTGGGGAACTACCTGCGCAACAAGGATGGAATTCCGCTTTCTGGCACTCCTCGACGAACCCCGAGGACCAACAAGACTGCCAGTGCGACCACATCTCCAGGAATCGGGGTGCGACACCTGTCTCATAGGAGTGCACATGTGTGCCAAAAGAGCTTGAAGGTCTGCTCAGCCTCGTCTTGCATGCACCAAGGAGGCTGCGAGCTTCGCGTCCCTCCAGTGTGCTGCCGGACGACCAACGTAAGCCTCTTCTCACTTGGACCGAGCGACGCCGGGGCTACAGCGGCTCGGCAACTCGCTGGACCTGCGGGAGTTACGTGAGCAAAGGCGACACGAGCTGCGAATGGGTGCACAAGAGCATCCCGAAGCTTGCTTCCAGAGAGAGTGCGACGTCGTCTTCAAGGAAGTGACTAGCTGGGGAACTACCTGCGCAAAAAGGATGGAATTCTGCTTTCTGGCATTCCTCGACGAACCCCGAGGACCCGCAAGACTGCCAGTGCGACCAGATCTCTAGGAATCGGGAGGCGACACCTGTCTCATAGGAGTGCACACGTGTGTCAGAAGAGCTTGGAGGTCTGGTCAGCCTCGTCTTGCATGCACCAAGGAGGCTGCGAGCTTTACGTCCCTCCAGTGTGCTGCCGGACGACCAACGTGAGCCTCTTCTCGTTTGGACCGAGCGACGCCGGGGTTACAGAGGCTCGGCAACTCGCTGGACCTGCGGGAGTTACGTGAGCAAAGGCGACACGACCTGCGAATGGGTGCACAAGGGCGGAGGGGTCCCGCAAAGCTTGCTTTATGAAAGAGTGAAACATAGTCTTCAAGTGCATGCCTAGCTGGGGAACTACCTGCGCAACGGGAATGGAATTCTGCTCTCCGAGTGTAATAAAGTGACTTGCGCACTGAACGCGACCCTATTCGCTACTATTATCAGGCGCTGTGTCTAAAGATTCGTCTGATGTACCTAGGATGCAAAATCTAAAGATACGTCAGACGTACCCAGGACGCGGAGTCTGTGTCGGGTGTCCTAGCGTGGGCAGTCGGACTGCGGCCGGACGCTCCCGCTGGTGTATTTGCAGCAGTCCGAAAGCGTTCCAAGCTTGCGTCTTATCGCGATAAGACGCAAGCGTGGAACGGCTGTGGCTGCCAGCCACTTATGCAAGGTCGCGACCTTGCATAAGTGGCTGGCAGCCGCTTGGCCTGGCCGCCGTGTAATACACGGGCGTGTGCCTGTCGTGTGTAAAAACGCGTGGAGTGTCAAGAAAGTCAAACATTGTGTCTAGCAAACTACTGATTTCAAATACCCCGACTTTTCCAAGCTTTTCCATGACTATTTTGATCAAATTCCTTGAGTTTTTGAGTCGAAGGATCACATTTCGGCAATGTCATTGAGCATGGCCGTGCCGGCGAGCAACCGCCATGCCGCTTTCACTAGTCGTCTTTCTCTATTTAGCCCACTTTTTGAATGATTCCCTGACTTTCCGAGATCATCCGAAATTCCCTGGGAGTTCAAGGTTTTCCAGATTGGCAGACACCTTTTGAAAGTTCGGCACACGTTTGCGGGGTTTAGTGATCGGGAAGCTGCTTGGCACAACCAAGAGCGGCGGAAACAGGAGCGGCGGAAACATGTAGGCACCCAAGAGAAGCTGGTACAGTACTGCTTACACGACTGTCGCCCTTCACAGGAGGCACCCGGCAGGCGGCCGGCAGCCGCCGTCCGCCTGGAGTGACCGCCATCGGTCTTTTTCACGTCACTACGGATCACGTAGTAACGTGGTTCGTAGTTAGCTCAGCACCGAGCAGTTCGGAGATTTTAACACTCCTCTCGGCGCCTCAAATGCGAATCTTGACCGTCGAGCTAAAAAAATTGCCGGGGCACATCCGCCGTACCGTTACAACTCCGCATTCTGGTTACGTCCTACATACCTTTAGACTCCGCGTTCCGGGTGGGTTCGACGTATCCTAGACACAGCGAGTAACGAGTGCGGATATTTTAATTAAACTCAAACGACCAAGCGATGTCCGAAGCAGCACCGGTCGGTAGTGATCCGAGCCCGTACGAGAAGCACGGGACCGAATCTGGCTTACCCTGAATGAAATAAAAAAGAAAAGCCTCATTCCCTCGTACTTCACGTTATTCCTACGCGGGAGAGCACACAAAACCCTGAAAAACCGAATTCCGCACATGAAATCCACACACTCCGATCAACGCCCTCAACTCTTCCGACACGCACTGGGCGCTGCCATCTTATCGTTGACGCCAGAGATTTGGTCTGGTACGTCACAGATTTGGCCTTGTCACGTGTCTAGTTGTCAAAATTGTACAACATGGTGGCGACCAATCGGGGGTCACTTTTGCCTGATAAACGGTATACTAGTTTATCACTCTAAGGCCCTCTACCTCGTTGGTGTATATACGCCGCGGGGAGAAAAGCAGGTTGAGTAGGAATTGTCGGGTGCTGTGTCGGTTGTTGTGTTTGTGTATATGTCGGTGCTGTGTAAAACGTGGTGCTCGTGTTGTCTGTGATGTATGTGGGTTGGTGTCTACTCGTGATCGTTCGCAGCGTATTGGCAGACACCGTTTCTTTTTTATATTCTGCTAGAAATCTCGCCAGGTGGCGTAAGTTACCGCCCGATTCCAAATAGTTTGCTCCAGGTATTTATCTATTTAAGTCCGGCATATGTTGTTTTTTTTTTGTCTGGCGGCTCCGTCGTCGGTATAGACGCCACCGACGACGCACGTACAGTGCGCTGCAATATGAAAGACCCACTGGGAGCGCTTGGCCGAGGTGGTGGCTAGTGGGGCGCTGCGAGCGCTTCGGGCAGTTCCATTCTGCTTCGAGGGGAGGACGCTCACTCGGGGCTCAGTTAAAGCGCGCGCTTATCAGCTTGTGGTAAGCCCCGAGTGAGCGTCCTCTCCTCGAAGCAGAATGGAATTGCCCGGAGCGCTCGCAGCGCCCCCGCCAGCCACCACCTCGGCCAGGCACTCCCAATGGGTCTTTCATATTGCGGCGCACTGTACGTACCTTTGCACGTTTACCTCTGCACGCCGGTAGACTGTTTACTGTGCATAAAAGCATCGAACGAGAACAGACGGTCCTGTGTGCTCTCAATTCGACTGAAAGGCGTGCGGCTCGCTTGGCTCGTCTCTCGCCTGTTCTCGGCTGCTGGCCGCCATGTTCTATAAGGAAAACGCTCAACCGTGTTTCGCGGAAGGCTGACACGGTGTAGCGTGTTAAGTTTACACGGTACCTCATGTATAGACGAATAACAGAGATGGCTGCGTGTAAAACAAACACGTCTTGACGTGTCCGCTATGGGACAACGCTTGACACGTCTGAGCGTGTTATTTTTGCTAACAGTGTATGACCGGGAACGCCCAAGCGTGTGAACTACGGTAGATTCATTGTTGTGCTACCTCGAATGCTCCTAACACTGCGTAGTGGACAGGGGGACAGCGAGAGGGTGTACATACTCCCTCTCGCTCTAAGGAGAATGCATCCTCCTGCCCCGATACACTGGCCACGGCGCGGACAGGTTCGGCGTAGTTTGAGTGGCTGGATTTCTAGCAACCTTGTTTTTTTGTTTTTTTTTTCGAATTGAATTGGGAGTGGTGGCAGGCGCCACCTATTGCGATGCAAGATGCGGTTAACAGGCATTCGCGTCGGCGGGCGAAGGGTGCGCCGCAGGCCGTTCGGTCGAAGCAAGTGCTTGGTCAATATCTGTCGTAGCTTATTCCCTAAACATTTTTTAGATAAAAAAAAAATTCCTTCTTTTACACGCGGTGAGGCATCCAAACCGTCAGGGGAAAGATCGGCGCAGTAGACGCGCCGCCTGATATAAATAAGCGGAGTAGGACGTATTCCCCCCAGTAAAGCGATTAGCATGTCATCCACGTATTGTCTAATAAGTACTGAGCTCGGGTGATAATTTTTGAGCATCTCACACACTTTGAGGTCTAAGCTCCGGCGGTATATAGCTTCCTATAATGAGTATTCAGTGGCGGCCACATCTGTGTGTGCGACTGCTGAGCGCGTGTCGACGGCGGCCTTAAGCAGTTCGTTTGAAATGTGCATTCAGCACCATTAATATTGCCGGCTATTAATATAAACACGTTTCGAGAATGCGCTGTAAACATTTCCCTCGGATACGGTTTCTATTAAATACCCTCTGCTACTAGCAAAATACTGGAGGAGTTTTGTAAACAAATCCAGACTCCGACGAGAAGAAATCGAGCTTAGCGAGAAAAGAAAAATAGGTGTCGATTCAGTCGATCTTTACCTGTATCGCCAAAACAACGCGTTTTAAGCGTCAGAAGTTACCTTAAGGTGAAAAACACGCAGCTTTGCTCAAATATCATTTGACCCACAGGGTGAAAGCGTCCTTGTGCAGTGATTCGGCGATATTACTGAGCGAACACCCATTTTAAAGCAGACACGGAAGATGGTGCCACCGTCGTTTCGCATGTTGACCGTCATCACCAAGCGCCCCAGCAAACTGCAGGGTCCCTGACGCATCCCCTGGCTTAGTAGCAGAGCAATACGCCTCCAAAAAACAGCAAGAATAAGTAGAATCTTTTTTTTTTCTGTCATAATACCCACACCTGCTAATGTCAGCGCGCTCGGCAATGCTCGTGCGATAATA